CTGGTATGTCCACACAAGGGAGAACTATGCAGGTATGAAAAGGAATTATGTCTGTATACTGTGATGGAGCCATCTCTAAGATTTCTCTCTCTCTCTCTCTCTCTCTCTCTCTCTCTCTCTCTCTCTCTCTCTCCATCTCTCCATCCAGAGCTTCCCACATGCTAGGAAAGCACTTTACCACCGAGCTACACCCCACCCTCGGCCTAGGATATTTTCTTAAGTGAAAAAAGCAAAACAGCAGGTGTGATATGCTGCCTTTTATTTAGAAAAAAAAAGAGAAATATAATTTAAAAAAAAACAAAACACGTTGCTTATGTTGGTGGCTCACACCTGTAATCATAGCTACTTGGGAGGCTGAAATCGAGAGGACTGCAGTTTGAGGCCAACCTGGGCAAATAGTTCAAGAGACCCCCCCCCCCATTTCCAAAGTAACTAGAACAAAAATGGACTGGAGGTGTGGCTCAAGCAGTAGAGCACCTGCTTTGCAAGTGCAAAGCCAAGTTCAAACCCCAGTCCCACCACCACCACCACCAAAAAACCAAAAAAACACCATGGAAAGATAAGTTAAGCTAGGTGCCAGTGGCTCACACCTGTAATCCTAGTTACTCAGAGGCAGAGCTCAGGAGGATCGCGGTTCAAAGCCAGCCTGGGGCAAATAGTTCTCTAGACCCTATCTTGGAAAAAACCTGCTCTTTCCCAGTCACAGCCAAGTTGCACGGAGGAGACCTGGGTGCTTTCAAGATTTGGCTTTACCTGCACCGCTGCTGCCGTGACCGAGGAAGACATTGCTGCTTTACAAGAGGTGCTGAAGGCTGCCCTCATCTACGATGGCCTAGCACATGGAATTTACAAAGCTGACAAAGCTTTAGACAGGTGCCAAGCCCATCTCTGTGTGCGTGCATCCAACTGTACTGAGCCCATGTATGTCAAGTTGGGGGCCCTGTGTGCTGAGCACCAAATCAGCCTCATTAAGGTTGATGACAAGAAACAAGGGGAATGGGTAGGCCCTCTGCAAAATTGATGGAGAAGGAAAACCCTGTAAAGTGGTTGGTTGCAGTTGTGTGGTGGTTAAGGATTATGGCAAAGAATCTCAGGCCAAGGATGTCATCAGAATACTTCAAATGCAAGAAATGAGCAAATAATATTTTTGACTCAAAAAAAGAAAAAAAGAAAACCCATCTGGGTTGTGGAGTGATGGAGTGGCTCAAGGTATAGGCCCTGAGTTCAAGCCCCAGCACTGAAAAAAAAAAAATATATATATATATATGTAGTATAACTATTAAACAGAAATACTTTGAAATTTTATAAAAAAGTAAGGAAGTGTGGATAGAAATTGGTTGAACCCAGGTCTGTCCAACCAGAAATCTTGTTCCTAATCACACTGTTATTTTTCCTGTCATTAATTATTCCTTGTGGCTGGTGGCCCTGGGTTTGATCCCCAGCACTGAAAAAAAAAGAAAGAATGAATGAAGGAAGGAAAAAGAGAAAGACAAAAGAGAAAAGAAAGAAAAGATTTACCCCTTCTAACAGCAGTGAAATGACTGGCCAGGTCACCAGAAAGCACAGCCTGGAGGGACCTGGCACTTTCTGGGATTCTAGGCGGTCTGGGTGGTGGTTTTGGGGCAGAGAGTTTAGGTCTTTCAGGAATTGTAGTCAGCTGCTCTCAGGCAGATTCTCTTGCCCTCCCATTGCAACCCTGAAGTGGCTTTGTTCCTGAGCACATCATTAGGAGAGTGCCTATAATAACTGCTTACCTGCCCACGAGTCCATTCCACAAGCCCTCACCAAGTGCACACTGTGCAAAACAGTAATAACACGATAGCATGCCCATCTGAGAATGGCTCTGCACGCTGGCCAAGACCCTTCCTGCCTGCGACTTCACCTCCTCCTTGAGGCTACCCTGGACCTGGGAATGAAGTCCCCAGCTGGGAGCCTAGGCTCCTTGAGACCTGCCTCCTACAATCTTGTACAACTGTAGGGAGGGCAGTCAGAGCTGGAGGCCCTGTCTCCTAACAGCTCACTAGCCAGCTCCCAGCCAGGGATCCTGGGTATCTGTGGGGGCATTTCAAATTCGGGCTGAAGTTCTGTGTTGGGCTCAGACACATAGGAAATTGAGTCCCCAGGAGTCCTGCTCTCTAGCAGTGTGCTCTTAAGCAAATCTGACATTCTCCAACGCTATAAAACAAGAACAACGACAATCCCTTCTCTAAGGGTTGCTGCAGGCTAAAGCCTATGTCATTTGCAGGTAAAAAGGGTGTCACATAGGCTCTTGTTATTAGCAAGAGTACTTTCATAGGGTGCAGAGTCTTGGAAAATTTTGTGTCCTCTCCACTTACTGCTTCTTATTCAGAAGTTCAAGTCTTCCTTGACCCGCTAACAAAGCACTTCTGATATCATCCTTAAGCCATATTCCCCTGATAAGGATGGGCTTGGGTGATGCTCCTTCTCACCTGCTCAGGGCCCCGGATGTTGCCTCTGTGAGCAGCTTGCTCAGCTCAGACAAAACCTCTCTCTCTGCTCCCCCTAAGTCCAGATCAATCCCCATCTCAAAGCCCTTTTAAGGACTAGCAATCCATCACAGGGGAGATCTTTGAAAAGTACCAATATGGCTGAGGCTATTGTCAGACAGGCCAGAAGTCAAGTTTACTGTCTTCTCTGGCTTCTAAGATTCTGAGTTTTGCAGTTGGATCAACTCTCATGTGGGCAGAATCTCAGCATGTGCAGGTTGCCCTGAGCTCACCAGCCGTCTGTCTGCCCCACCTGCTGTTGGGCCTTTTTCATCTACCTCTTTGTTTCTCTAAGGGACAATGAGGGTGAGAAGATAAAGGGATCAGGATTCTAGCCACTGAAGAGCTTTTGTTTGTGTTTTTAATAGAACAGAATACATTAAAATTTCCCTCTTGGCATCAGCCTATTGACTCCAAACATAGCTTTGAGATTAGACCTTTCTGATTTTGTGTTCTGTGAATCTCAGAAGTACCTGGGAAACCTGCAGCGTTCTTTTTTTTTAATCTCCTAAGGTGTGAGCACAACAACAACAACAATAATAAAACTTACACAGCAATTCATTGAGTTCATTGCTGGGTATTTATTGAGTACCTACTTTGTGTTTGATTATATGCTAGGAGCTCAGAAGCCTCCTACCCCTCTACTCCTGAGGGAAGGAGAGTCTACCATCTATTTAGACATGCTATATATCTCATCTCACACTATATGTCAACTCTGGGAAGAGGTAATGTTACTTCATTTCACAGGTGAGGAAAGAGACGGGAAATTCCATAACTTATCCAAGGTTGCTTGTAGTAGGGGAGCCAGAATTCTAATCCAGTTCTGTCTGCCTGTACTGTCTGGTTCATTCCCACTAGAATACAGTGGGGAGGAGGCAAGGGCTAGATGGATCAGTCAGTGGAGACCCAGAGGCAGCAGATTACAAAGCCAGAGCCCCATGGCTAGAGCAGGTGGGGTTCGGGAGGGAGGATCTGCCAAGGAGGACTTCCTGAGGGAGGTAGTCCTGAGGCTCAGGACAGGGTGTGGAAGGATGTGTCATGTGATGTTGGCCCTGGGCAAGAATGAATTTGTATGAAGTCCATGGTAGATAGCACATCCTGAAGCCAGCTGGGTGGCACCTGGGGCTGAGGGGTGGGAAGCCCCATGGAGCTGTCTAGGCTGATGAGAACCAGAGCCAGGGAGGGACAGAATCCACAGCAAGGCTGGCAGCCAGGTGCATCCTTTGCTGGCAATAGTGTCAAGGGATGGCCTGGAGATGGTGGGGACCAGCAGGTGCCTTTTGGGAGGGGATGGCAGGGAAAGGACAGACATCACCAGGATGGAATCCACAGGCTTTTGGGGAGGATGCTTGTGGGGAGAATTTCGATTGTGGACTGTTATGCACCCCCTCCCTCAGATCACAGCACAGCCCTATTCACAACTGTTCAAGGTCTTCCTGTTGCTTGGAGGATCAAGTCCAAGCCCCTCATCCTGTCATCCAGAGGCACCTCACAATTTGGCCTCAATCTACCGTTTTGGGCTTCTTGCCCAAACTGCACCAAACGAATCCTCTGTTCTCCACACACCATGCTCCACCCAACCTCCAGTGCTGCCTGCCCACCCCCAGACCCTGAGTTGGTCTCCATAAACCCCATCAGCAGCAGGACCTTGCCCCAAACCTGGCCCTTCATAGTCGCTGGTATCTCTTCCAGCACAAGCTTGAATAATTAAATGTTTTATTTCTACTGAATTTTTTGCTGTTGTTGTGTCATTAATGTGACTGTCCTGCCCTTGAGGGCCGATTCTTCTTTTTACAATGCTTACCTGTCTCAACTAGGGAAGTCATTTCATTTTCCAGACTTGGTTTGCTCATCTGAAAACGGAGCCAGTTTAAGTATGGAGGGCATAGTGCCCGGCTCACTGAAAGCCTAGCCAAGACTGCTTCAGTCCTTTCCTGTAGTGTGGGGTGGTCCCAGGGGCCCAGCAGGACATAAGGGAAAGGGGAGGACCCCAGACATCCCTGTAGGGCTCATCCCATGAGAAGGGCTCTTCTTTATCTATTGGGACCTCTGCGTTTCCAAGGGACAGTTAGCATCACACAAAGCGCACTAAGGTCATTCAGAAAACCGATGCACACGAGCAGTCTTTAAAAGGCCACGAACAGATTTTTTTTCAGTGAATTCAGGACTCCTTGGGGGCAACCCCTACCCAAATCCCCCAGTGCCAGGGTTGGTTCAGCGTGGCACGTGCTACCCCTCGCTGCACTGTCTACCGAGCGCGGTTAGCTGACATCGTGTCCTTGAACCCCTTTCACGACCCCTCGAGTTCCCTCGCATCACCTCCACCTAGCAGAGGAGGTTCTAGGAGGCGAGGTGACTTGCCCGAAAGTGACAAGAGTGCTGGCTCTTAGAGGCCCTGGGCTGCGCTCTACCGTCGGGATCTGCAGCTCTGGGGGGTGGAAGGGTGGGAAGGACAGATCTTTCGGGTTCGAGAAGGGAGGTGCGGGGCCGCGGATGCCGCCCGCCCGGGAGCGCGCGTGGCCCGCGGATGCGCGTGGGGATGGGAAGTTGATGCACTCGGGAGGTGGCCGGGGGTTAACGGTTGCGTTTCTCCGGGGCCCTCCCGGCTGCTGGGGAGCCAACTCCCGTGCGCATCCCCGCAGATGTGCGTGCGGGCTCCGCAGGCGGGCCCAGGGGCGCGCGCACGCTCCCCGTGTCCGCCGCGCGCGCCCTCGCCCAGCCTCCGGGCTCGCGCGCTCCCGGACTCGCCGCGCTCCCGCGCGCGCCGCGCGTCGCTCTCCCTCCCCGCCCCTCCCGTCGCCACCCCGCCCCCGGCCGGGTACCCTCGCCGGACCGGAGAGAGAGCGCCGCCGCCATCTTAGTTGCTGCCGCTGCCTCCAGCGAAGCGGTGCTCTGAGGAGGGAGGGCGCCCGCGGCGGAGCGCGCGGCCCAGCGTCACGGCGGCCGCGGCGGCGACTCCTCCTCGGACTCCGGTGTTCGCCGCGCCACGAAGCAGCCGGTCTCGGGCTGCCAGGGCCCCGCTCGCCGTCCCGCGCGCCTCCTTGCCGTTCCCTCTGCCGCCCAGGGCCGGCCGCGGCGCCGGGAGCCCGAGCGATGCTGCGCCGCCCTGCGCCCGCGCTGGCCCCGGCCGCCTGGCTGCTGCTGGCCGGGCTGCTGTGCGGCGGCTGCGGCCGCGTCTGGGCCGCGAGAGGTAAGCGTCGGAGCTGGGCCGGGCCGCGGGGGTTCGGGCCCCGGGTGAGGGGGTCAGGTCAGGTGGGGCGCGGGGTCCAGGTTTGGGCGTCGCAGGACGTGGGCACGCGCTGCGGATGCCCCGGGGAAAGCGGTCTCGGTCCTGGGCGGGGCACCTGGGCCGTCCCCATTGCACCCCAAGGGTGGTGGCTACGCGGACTTGGGGTACTTGGGGAGCAGATGGTCCGGGGGGGTCGGGCCGTGCACCCCCCCGGCGGGATGCTGCGACGTGGGTTGCGTGCTCAGATGCGCATCAAACTGGGGGTGCACGCACAGTTTTTGGCGTGTGCTTACATAAGCGCCCACTCCTCCGCAGCCCTTTTTGCCGAGATCCCGTTTTTTTTGCTGCTGCACGGTGGACACCACGACTTTGCCCCTTTCTGCCGCCTCCCCGAGTCTTTTAAACGTTGTCTGTTTCCAGGCGAGTGGAGGCTGAAACTTCTTGCTCCCTCCCTCTTTGCCTCCCTCCCACCTTTTCACCCAAAGGTGAAATCGTGATGAGGTTCGCGATCGAGGCTCCCCCTGGGTGGGAAATGTGCGTTTCCTGCAGTTTTTCTGACGGTCATGTGGATCGTGCCGGGCTCAGGTGGCCTCGACGCTAGAGAATCCCCTCTGATGCCTTGGGGTTGTAGGGCCGAAATTATTGTATGGTGAGAAGGCAAATAATACTTACCAGTAAATTGAGTGTTTGTTTTTTAACCTTCATCCAGTTAACCTTTTAAACGTTACGTGCTCTGATGATGACCGATCCTGCCAACGAAAAGCTTACGCATTGCAGAGATAGGCAGGCTTCTGAATGCACCTTGAAATCGTAAACATCTTCCCCTGGCCTTGGAGCAAAGTAATCTAGGTGTAGTCTACAGAGTACTTGAATCTGTTCTTCTGATATATATTTTTTAATCAAAAAATTTTGGGGAGAGGATTGATAGAAGCCTGGACGAAGTGGTCATATTCCAATTTAGCAAGCTTTAAAAAAAAATTCTTGTTTCCTCCTCGGCATGACATCCAGAGGGAAAGAAGTGTGGTGTTCACCAAGTAAAGGGCAGAAGAGGCTACATCTTTTGTTCCAGCCAGGATGATAAACTTTGAATACTTTCTGTGCCACGTCTGATGTTCTGTTCACTCTTGTCAAATTCAGATCTTAGCACTAAGTATCTAATTCCCCTCTATTTGACTTTTAAGTTACATCAAACCCAGTTTGAAATGTTCTTTCCACATGTGACACAGGTCCGAAAGTTGAATATAGCCAAGGAAATATGTCAGTTTTGCTTCTCTTGGGAAAAACCCTTACATTGAAAAAAAATGTGTATCTATATCTATATTGTACATACAAATATGCATAGATTTTGGGGCGCAGATAAAATATATTTAGTCAGTGATAACATTTCTTGTTAAACTCCGTGCTTTTAAAGTTTGCCCATATACCTACATTTGGGATGCATTATTTAAGTTCTTTGGTTACTTAAACAGTTGGCATAAACATAAACTCTTGAATATCAGGGTGGACTGGCACGTCGATGGGAAGTTGGGTTGGATAACCTGTGTCACTTGTGATCTGCTGGCTTTCTCGGTGCAGTTACAGTGCTTCTGGATTCTTAAGTCTTCAAAATAAAACATTTAAACATCAGTTATTCTCTTGCATTTGTTTTTTTCAAGTTGCGGTTAGAAAATGTCTCATGAACATTGTATGGAATGCTAGTAAGGCAATTTCATTTTGAAACGTTACAGTTGAATTTTATATATGGAGGGAGGCACTTTCTGTGGGCTCATTTGAAAAGGTGATCATTTTCCTAACATATGGGTTGGCTTTTTCCCTCCCTTTCTGGGCTGGGGATGGAACCCAGCTTTGTGTGCCATGTGAGGCAAGCCCCCATCACCGTGATACACTCCCAGCCCAATAGCTGAGGTTTTTTAATTGATGCAAGACAGAATGACAAGAAGGGCTGCTCATGCTCCAGCTACCTTGAGTGATTATTAATGGGATAAAGATACATCTAAACTGCTGGAGAAATGATAGATTTCCTCATACAAATTGCATTTGAGCCAGGCACCAGTGACTCACGCCTATAATCCTAGCTACTCAGGAGGCAGAGATCAGGAGGGTCCTGGTTCGAAGCCAGCCCAGGCAAATAGTTCATGAGACCCTATCTTGAAAAACCCTTTACAAAAGTAGGGCTGTTGGAGTGGCTCAAAGTGAAGCCCTGAGTTCAAGCTCTAGTACTGCAAAAAAAAAAAAAAAAAAAGCATTTGATTATTAATTATTCTGTAGAGAACCCAGAATTTCAATTTAATTATAGTTATAGTTCTCACAAAACATCAAGTAAACCAAAATATGAGAAGCATCCTTTGCTTGTCCCGGGGGGTCATGTGGGCAGGTAACCTGCCTTCCCTCTAGTAGTGTGGCCAGGGAAGATGGTCAGGAAATGAGATCTGTATGAACATTGGAAAGGTCGGTGCACTCATGCAGTGCATTTCAAAGCCAAATAAAGAATACGTACTGTTATTTTTGTAGTCTGCACACGCATTTCTCAGTACCTAAAACTGAAATATTAGTTGTTTTTGGGCTTAAAAACCAAATAATAACCAATATAGGTAATGTACGATATGGGCTCCTAAGCCTGTCTCACCATCCTGTTTGAAATGTCATCTCTCTCCCCTGCTTTGCTGTTCCAGTTTCCCATAGCACTTGCCCATTCTAACATGGTTTGTTACTCACCTGTGTTGTTTACGGTCTCCCCTCAGTTATACTCAGAGGTGGAAGGGGATTTTGTTTGCAGAGAGATCTCCTCAGTAGCAAACATTAGGCACAAAATATTTGTTGTATGATCAAATGAATGGACGAAGAAGTATATTTCTGTTTGGACAGCATAGTATTTTTACATACTAATTTTCACCTGACAGATAAATGGTATCTTTTGAAAAAAACACTGCAGACATGCATTAGAGCACAACACAGGTTTAAATTCTGCAGTGTGAATATGAGAATTCATTGGGAGCTAATTTTTCAAGGATCCAGTTTTGTTGGTGGCAGTGTTGGGGATATTAAATCATAAAAATCTGGCTGAGTCTTTGAAGTCTGTAGCTACTTTTTTGAGTCTGTTTTTCAAGGTACTGTATTTCTCAGATTTTTTAGAAGATGGTTTCTTCATTACCTTATGTATTAGATGTAGCTTTGAGGGAAGAATGTCATTTGAATGGTGACTTAAATATTACTCTTTGTCTACTTTAATTTTTGTTGCCTCATTTTTTATGTTGAAAGTAAACATTTCTGTAGGAGATCGATAACCACTGAAAAAATAAAGAGATATCACTGGGTGTGTTCCAGTTTAACGGGAGTCTTCACTTAGCTGGAAATTCATCCTATGGTGTGTGCTTTTGAGAGGAAAAGCATAAAATCAAGCAGTCTCAGGAATTCTTTTTCTAATGAAAGGAAGAGGAGCTGATACACATATTATCTGTGTTGGTATTATTTGATTTTTACACCATGTTTTATAACATTTTGGTTTTGGATATGAAAAATATGACCCAAAATGGAGTTTTCATGAAATACAACATTTTTACATTGTAATTAGAAAATGCTGTAATTTCCTAACACTGGTTTCAAGACTTGGTTAAGCTTATTAAAAAATGTCTGAATGTTTAAAATGAGGAATCTGAGATTTTACACTAAAAAAAAAGATTGAATTGAATTATTTTTATTGTTGCTTTCTAAGACAGGAAAATGCAATTTTTTTGGTTAGTGTTTTCTTTTACAAGAATTGAAACAGCATTAAAGACTCTGACCCATCTGTTTCTCATGGTCCCAGCTGGGTTTCAGATCATCATAATTTGCTTTTTCTGTGGTCTTGATTTGACAGGAACAGAGTTGCTTAAAGAAAAGCTGTGTCTTTATAAATGAAATTTTGAAGTATTGATTTACTGTAAAATATAGGTTTAAGTAGAGTATCAGGACTCAAGACTGGTGGAAATGATTTATGCAAAGTCATGTTCTTGTATTGTTAAAACAAAAATAAACAAAACACACAGGAGAACCTCAAAAGTGTCACTGACACCAGCAGAGGCTGTGAGAAGACCACAGAAAGGAACTCATGCCGTGTAGCCCCTCTCTGTCGTCTTTTCTGTAACAGTCTCTACCACCTTGGAATTGGAGTGCCACACTAAATTGTCCCCCATCTCTCCTATGTGTGTTTCTTTCTTTTCTTTTCTTTTTTTTTTTTTGGCATGATTCTGGAGCTTGAACTCAGGGTCTCATACTTGCTAGGCCAGAGCTCCCAGCCCTCCTCTATGTTTAGCCATTTTTTTGCTCATTTTCTCATTTAGCTTTGGGTTGATATTATTAGATTAAATTTTTCACAAGATCTGTTGCTAAGTTTTCTGGTTTTTTTTTTTTTTAAAGGTTCTCGGCAAAGATTCAATTACTTCAAAGTAACTGACTTTGGAACATCTGAAAAACCTATAAAGCACATTGGAGGGTTAGCTTCTTTCTGTCCTAGAGCCCCAGTAGGGAGTATGTGGTAGCAGCTAGGAGGAGACATTAGTGTTTCCCTTTTTACCTTTTTGGTCAGACACCTGTTTGGGACCAGTCTGATTCTCGGGTGAGAAGAAGAACTATGGGCTCTTTTTTTCTCAGGTCTTCCTCCATCTGTATTTTCTTTTCTCTTTTTGTTGTTGTTGCTTTTGTTTGTTTTTGGGTGCTGGGGATCAAACCCAGGGCTGCACTCATGCTAGGCAAATGCTCAACCCTTAACTCATTTTTTAGGACAAAAGAAGGTCACCTTTACCCATTTTTTTTAAAAAAAACAGCTTTGTTGGGATATAATTGACACACCATAAAATTTATCCTTTCATGTTGTACATTTCAGCGATGTTAGTATATTCATAAAGTGGTGTGGCCATCACCACTGTCTAATTACAGAATATTTTCAGCACCTCCGAAAGGAACCCCGTATGCACCGGTAGTCA